TTCAATAAAAACTAAATAAATAGATTACAACCTAATAGCACCTGATTCCTCCTTTAACAAATTAATAAAAGAAGGATATTCTTATATATGGCTATTATTAAAACGAGGCTAAAAATAATTAAAATTTAAACTAATCATTTTTTGTATGTGCTTCTGTTGCTTAGCCTCTTTAATTATTAAAACTATGACTACGAATATAGGTTGCTAAAAATGAGCAAAAGATTATATTATGTAATGTGTTTATTGAGTTTATATATTAACTACTTTATAACATACATGGAGTAGATAGTCATTTTCTTTAAAATGTTAGTTGATACAATAGTTATGAAAAGTCTAAAAATGAGGTGTTTTCCCTAAAGAAGGATTGGGAACTAAATGGAAAGAATTTCTTTCATTAGAAGATTCTTCTCATTTGGAAGCCCTACTGGAGGAATAAAGAATCAAACTTGAAGAGAAGAAGTGAAGATAAGAAAACATCTTATTTTTACAAAACAGTTGCATCATGTCATATGGATAGAATCCTAGTTGTTGTTAGTGGAGCTTGACCACATTTACTTTTTGCAAATCTTAGATTATTTTAAGTGGCACTTGCAACATAGATGTTATACATTCTATACTTCGCTTTATTTTGATTGATTGAATGTTTGTTTATTTTTATTGCGCACTAGAAACTCTTACTTTTTTTAAATTTATGTCTTGGATATGCCTTTGCTTGGATATTTTGCTAGGCTTTTAGAGAATAATTTTTTTTATAGTCCTAACCAATAAAATATTTAAGATAACATGGAATGATAATTAGATTAGAAAGTAAGTTAGAGCTCATCTTGGATCGCATAAATCATATCCATTCTTCTTTCCTTGTTAGGCACCTATTTGCCTACTGATAATAGTAGACCACCCAACCTATGAGGGTGCAATTCTAACTCATGGGTGTTATGTTCTTTTAGGATAAAATCTATTTTTTAAGCATTTTTAAAAGTCCACATGCATATTATACTATAAGAGTCAACTATTATGTATTGTATTAAAAATAAATTATAAAAACTTAAAATTTAATTGAGAGTGTTCTTAGAAGTTTCATCTCTCTTGAGATATAATAAATTATAAAAGCTTACCTTTATTGAAAACTTGTAACTCTAGATTAATTAAGTTATATCCTATGTTTATAAGGTAAGAGAAAAATCTCTATAAACATAGATAATATTTTAATTTTTTTTTTTTACATTCAAATACCTTTACAGAATATCGTGTTCACCTTTCAAGGTGATATAATATTCTCTCAATTTTTTTATAGAAATGACAATTTTTTAAAACTTCATTTTAATCTTCAAATACTATTCTAGAATGACAGGCCTTCCTTTTGAGACATTATATTATTATTATTATTTTTATTTAAATATAAAAATAAAAAAAAATTCAGAACTCTATTTATGTATTCGAATCCATTATAGAATATCGTATTTGCCTCTTGAGATGGTACAATATTCTCAATGTCGTATTTGATCACAAAAATAGGAGCACCCTGAGTCTACATTGGTGATAATAATTAAAAAAATTTCCCCACAAGTACTTTATTTTATTTTAGTTTTTAAATATTTATTTTGTTATGTTATTTTTATGCACCTTTTATTATGTTATGTGTAAAATATAATTTTGAAAATAATGAATGGAATCAATTTCCCTAATGTTATGAAAATTATTTGCTTTATGATATTGCACTTTTTCTTGAGTTATAAAATTAAAAAATTTCAAAATCAAGATATTTAAGTATTTAATAATACAAAACTTATGAAAATTTCCTAATAAAATAGTTACAACTAACATCTATTATTTTCATATAAAATTAGTAATTTTAGGTAAATTGAGTTTTGAGAAATTACGTTTTTTGACAAATGCATAAGCAATTTTATTAAAAGGAGAAGAAATTACAAACTAAGAAAGGGATCACATTCCTCCTTTAACAAGCTAATAAAGTAAGGAGGAATAGATTCCCAACTACAATTATTCCATACAAAATTACTATTATGAGCAATGTTAGCACTCATATTAGCTAACTTATTACAACCACTACTAACTCTACTAAAAATAACATTTTTGAATTCTTTGAGGAAATCAATTTCTTCCATCCCATATGTGATAAACTTCTTGTTCGGATATTTGTTAAGGTCATGCAAGAAATTAATGACATTTGCATTATCACCTTCAATAATAATACATTCATAAACCAACATCCAATCTTGTAGAATAACCTTTAATGCT